ACTCTGCAAAGTAGAAATGTCAGCACTGTCCAAACTCTCTTACCGAATAAGAACACGTTTCCCTTTAAGGTCGACTTCACTTATATTCAGCTTTGCCAAACCCATCACGTACACAAGCGAAATAGAACACTACGACCTGACAGCTACGAACGTCCTACAAATGCTATCGGGAAAAACACATTTCAATCGTCAATTTGATCACATCAAGAAATAGACTTCGGTTTCATGAAGAATTCTATTCAATAAGTCTCTTCGCTTCTTGAGTCTTCTACTAAACGAAAAGTTCTTCAGTTTTAGCACCACACTGCTCTATATTCTTATGTTTTCTAGAATAGTTACAAAAAAAAGAGATGAATCATGTTCAGCATCAATTCCTACAGCCCTGTAAACCATGATTAATTATCACTTACGCCTGAGATGCAGGCTGGAGTTTTTTAACTTCTGAAGTCATCTAACAATTGTTAAACCAGTCACCTTAGAGGTGAAACGAATGGCTGCCCCTGAGATTTAAGGTCACTTTCAGACAATGCCTTTTCCAGTCTTTTTCTGGGGGATTTTGTATAGGGTGGCTAATATTTTGCTTCTGATGGCAGTAAAAACCTTACGATTGCTAAGGATGGTCCGAAGCGTTTGGCTTCAGTTGACTGGCAGTTCACTAGAGTTTTCGAAACATGACCTTCTTTGATCTTTAGATCAGTACTGATAATGAAGTCCGTCCGAACACCTAATTGTTGATGCTCACATGCCCTGCTTGCGTGGATATGCGCTTACTCACGTTGAAAAAGACCAGCCGTCTCTCTGACCACCTCAACAAGATTCGCAGGTCCACTTGAAATGTACAAATATTGCCACCACTCCACAACTCCCATTAGACCATCGCGTCACCAGCATGAAGATTCATGTGAGAATTCTTTTTCTCCCGTAGTTCACCCTGCATAAAATACTGGTATAAGACTTTGCTTCATGACGCTCCTGTATGTGCTAACGTCCAGGGGAAAAGTTTGGAACTGATCCTAACTCTCCCCGCCACCATCAACGAACACTTTAATGTATGTGATTCCAAAATATGCTCGTCAAACGCCTTAACAATGTCCGAGAAACTGACATTCATGTGCCTTCTGCCACCTTTGGGATTTGCCAAGCCTTCTCTTCCTGAGAGGATACTTAGAAAGAATGAAGCATTCCTACAAAGACATGTTTCCAGCTGGAAAGCAAGGTGTGTAAGTGTATCCTACGTGATTAGGCCTTCCAAAATCTTTATGGCACCAGTTAGACACATCAGACCGCCATGCTTTTAGATCCCTTGACGAATTTAGACGAGGCGGGGAGGAGGAACTTTGCGGAATAAAATGGTGTCGTCGGGAAGCGGAAAGATTCTTGTTGATGGTACACACACCAGCCATCAATAGGTCGTCCAGTACCACAGCCAGACCAGACCGTCCTTGGTCAGCAAGAAAAGTGTCTTACAAGGCACCCTTAAAGCTGAAACCAACAACTATGGTTGTTGGGACTGACAACCGGCACAGTCGTAGAAAAGTATACTCATGACGTCCAGCATTGGCAGTGGTTATCAGCAAGGATAGGGTTAAATGGGATAGCGGCAGCGGTCTGCAGACTACCAAGCCCCTGACATTCGACAACGATAACATCATCCCGGTTGATGGCTGTCAACTTCTTCTGTCAAGAACTTTCAACCAGAGTACTGTAAACTTGGTATACAGTAAAGATAACATCAGTGGGAACGTTCGCTGCTGTGAAGTCAGACCCAGGATACTGCGACAACAGTAAGTGACAGCTCCGCCCACTGCTGGAGTCACCACCATCGTCAACAGACAAGACGTACAAACAAGCCTAGGCTCTATGAAACCCCCAGAAACCATTGTGGGGAAAAAAGTGATTAGGCTGGTTCCACCGGAGCTGGCCGTCCTATAGTGAGTTTCGCCACTACGCACGACCCCCTCTAGTCTCCCAGCACCAAGATACCACATGTCGTTAGCAACGTATCCAAGTGTCTTCACAGTAATGCGAGGGGACCTGGAAGTAAAATGGGGGAATTACGGTTTCTCTGTTCCTGCCTTGCTCCAACGATCATAATCCCAACAGAAACTTGGTTATCGCCAAATATTAGTGACATCGGGGGGATAGTGAGTTTAGGAAGGAGGCAGAGTGGCCATGCTTACAGGTGATAACCTTAAAAGTGAACAAGAAACTGAAATCCTACTTCCACGGTTCCCAGACACCGTCTGGTGTTATCTGAAGGTTAGAGACACCAAGTACCTGAAGGGGGCGTCTACGGAACTCCTACTAGAAACGTGGAGGATGACCGACAACTGCCACAAGTAATGTCCGGAGTGACGTCCATCGGATATGACCGAGTCACTATAGCCGGCGACTTTAATGCTCTGACTCAATCTTGGGCAGGACAGGGGAACCTCAAGCCGAAGGTTCGACCCAAACCTACTCAACACTGTCAAAAAGGCTGGGTTGCACGAGAATATTGGTGATGACACTAGCTGGGGGTTGGGCAGAAAGCCGTTCAAACCGGACCACCTTTTTACCAGTGACCACCTTCTGGTAGAAAACGTACGGGCTGAAACTCCCCCTCGGCAGCAGCAATCGCGGCGTGGTAATGTTTGATCTGTTGCTCAGCGAACGACTGTATGGGAGGGATCTCGCTACTACCTTTGCTACAGCAAGGCTAACTACGTGGTGATGAACCAACATTGCCGACAGCACCATTGCATCACGGGTGGAGAAACATGTCGGTTGATCAACACTGGGAACTAGTCAGAGATATCACCAAGAGGGCTGTCTCTGAAAACGTCCCGGTAATCACAGCAATACCACGGAGGCGTTCTCATGGCTGAAGCAAGGCAGTGAACGCTCTTGAAAGCATGGCATAAGTGGAGGACTTCCAGAAAACAGTCTGACCACAGCTCGTATATTGCCCTAAGAAATCCATGTAACATCAGAGTGGGGGAAGACAGGAGGTCATCCCAGACTTACCTGTCCAGAAGCTCTGAGGAAACCGCAACAACCTATATCGGTTTATGACAGGCAGAAAGTCCACCAGCCAGAGGGCCTGCAACCTGAAAGGCCTAGACGGAGAGAACCTCTCCGGACTAGAGATCGCCGAAGCTTTTAGCGCCACCTTCGATACGCAGCTCAATACTTCTCTATCGAACCAAATTACCAACCGTCCGACCAGCATTCAGCACCACCAAAAGCAGTAAGTTACCCTGAACAAAGGTAGCTCCTGCTATAGTCCTCGAAAAACTATCAAAGCTCGACTCTGGGAAAACACCAGGGTGTGATGACATCCGACTGACTGTGCTGAAACAATGCGTTGGTGCCCTGTGCGGTCCGCTGTGTAACTTGTTCCAGCACTCCTTAGACAATCACGTGCTTTGACGAGAGTGGAAAGTGCTATTCTGTCCCCAGCTTCAAAGTGGAGACAGGCAGAACCCAAAATGCTACTGACCCATAGCCCTTCTACCAGTGGTGTCAAAAGTAATAGAGAGCCTGGTAGACGACCATGTCAGGGGAGCACTTAGTGACTTTCAGCATGGTTTCAGAAAGGGTAGGTCCTGTGCCACAAACATTCTGGCGTCAGGTAATAAGTGGATGGCATGCTGGGACCTCCAAATTCCTGTCCATGTTATTTTCTTGGATTTCGCTGAGGCCTTTGACACAGTTCCACACAAAGTTCTTATTCACAAAATAGAGAGGTTGGGCATCGAGAGGGAAGTGCTTTCATGGTTACAGGACTATCTGGATGGTAGACAATTCTGCACAAAAGCCAACAGAGTTTGCTTGACTTGCAGGACATCATCATCTGGTGTATCACAAGGGGCGATTCTGGGTCCACTGCTATTCCTTCTTTTTGTGAACGACCGCCCACTGAATCTCAGCTCCCCAATTCTTCTCTACGCTGACGATGTTAGGTTATGGAGAGCTATGGCGTCGGAAACAGGATCAGTGGACTGCAAAGTGACCTCAGATCACTTGCAGTGCGGTTCGATATTAATGGAATAACACTTAATCTAGATAAGTGCCGAGCCATATTCCTCCGCACCCCAAACTCTCAGAAGGTACCCTGTCCTCTCTGTGGGATACAACTCCCCCACACCACCACGGAGAAAGATCCAGGACTAATAATGACTGACGAACTAGACACTATAGCCTTAATTATCCAGGAGATGCCTCAGGGGCCTGCATGGTACTGCAGTTCATGCGCAGACAACTGAGTTCTCTGACCCCGGAACACATTTTGAAGCTGTATAAGACCTATATACGACCCCACCTAGAGGTACACAACGTCACTGCACTACCTTATCCGCAAAGAGACTTTAACCTGATAGAGAAAGTCCAAGGGCGAGCTACAAAGGGTGTCGTGGGAATGAGGCAAAACCATATCAGGACAGGCTGAAAGATCTAGAACCCTGCTCTTTAAGCTACCGCAGATTACGTGGTGATTCGATAATGACTTACAAAATACTAAGTAACCCAAGTCATCCAAACAGTGGGATCCAACTGAACGGCCACTATGGCGATCCTCGTGGTAACCCAAGAAGAATCGCACACCAAAGAGCGAAAACCAGAGTGCGATCACACTTCTTTTATCTGCGAGTTCGCGGCCGCTTGAACGCGTTGTCTGCCGAGGCTGCTACTGCTGAGTCTGCTGACAGCTTCAAGAAGAGGTTGGACAGTTATGCAGCGACGCACAGTTAGCGCCCACCCAACTGGGATGTGGACCAGGCTGACACGACCTACCAACTCTAATCGGCCAACCGTTACTGAACACTTTATAAAGCCACTGTCACTGGGAACTTGGTCCAACCTTATACCTTCCTA